CGTGCTGTCAAACCTACACTAGCAAGGAGATCGGGCTGAAACTATAGCTACAAGCTATCCAAGGATGGTACTATAGAATGTCACCTCAAGGTAGGCCTAGTGGCGTCATCTCTTGGTTAGGCCGGAAACTTATCAATCCACCCTCGTATATAAATGGACAAGTTGACTGAGTCATACGTCAAGGCATAGCCCAAACCTTTGGATCTAGGGATTTGACATTTTACACTAACATTCCTTATGCAAGGTATAGGAGAGCATTAAAAAAGGATTTTTTAACATTTAACCCCTGAAAATGTGAAAAGGGGGTTCAAGGTCTGATGTTTCAACACAGCTCAAACTGCCGAGCCAAAACGATTGAAATTTTTCCCAAAGGTTCCTCGTACAACAATATCGTCCACCATGAAATAAGTAGTTTGCAAAATACCACTCCTAACTAGGTAAACCAGGAGTTAAAAAGATCAAGGGTTAAGTGCTACACACGAAGGGCAACCATTAGGGACTATGGTGGGAATGGTTTCAAGTGCTATGACAAAGGTACCGTTCAAATTTAGACGGATCGCGGCTACTGCTAGCGTAATATATGTTGAAGATGCGTAGTTTTGAGTTTACCTATACTATTCCTTTGATGTTACATGAAGATTAGAGGTTCGACATCTGCCCATCAAATTAATGACGAAAAATTATTGTCGCTCCTCAATACCCGAAAGGGTGTGCCTATTAAGATTCATTTCATTAAGAAAGTTTGAGCACAGACTTTCATCATCTGTCACTAATTTTGGTCCAAATTACTTAATTTCAAATTTCTCTTCTATACTGCTCAATATCTACTGCACCTGTTCCTGTTTTCGTAATATTAAAGGTACTGATATCTATAAAAAAGTGAAATGTGCAGTTGTTATTGACGTAATCGAAAACGAAAAGCACAATAAATTAATATTTATTTCAACTTAAAAATAGTCTTAAACAAATACAACACGCCCTACTTAATAGCCGATAATTCAGTACCTACTTACATGTTTTCCGATTAAAAATTACATGATTATTTCACAATGATAAGGCAGGGGAAGTACCCTAACTTATTTTACGAAAATATGGACAAACGGGCGGAAAAAAGACTCTTTGAACCAACAAAAGATTAGCAGCGTTTCATCAGAAGTTCAGGGACTTCAGTAAGTAAATTGGTAAATGGTAAAAATCTCATTAATGGTGAAATTTGATGTGGTATCTTGTAAAAGAATTTCAAAACCGATTTAAAACGTTATGACATGATCGTACGTCAAGTGTTTGCTGTAGAACACTTTTCTAAGAAATCAAAGATATACCTATTGATACATATATCGTATACATTATATGTGTTCAGATTAACATAATTAGAAACATTTCAAAGAAAACAATATCAAAGGTTACAGGAAACCAATGTGTAATATCACAGTTTATTTTCTGTCATGATGACACCGAGATCTATGTGGGCAGTCGTGGATTCCACAACGGTTTTTCCCAAACAGTAATTGAGCCGAGGGCTTTTTCTCCCAAGGTGGAGGACTTTGCACTTAGACTCGTTCAACGGAATAAGCGACCAGTTTGCTATCAGGTGAAGATCTGCTTGGAGTTGGTCATGACACTACACCGGATCTATAAGAGACCAAGCCATTCCCCAGATCGCTGGTGTAAAGAATGAACAGTAAGTGGCCAAGGACAGATCCTTGTGGAACCCCATCACAAAGCGGTTTTGGAGAGATGAAATCGCCAATCCTAACTTGAAACATTCTCTCCAACAGGTAGTTATCCAATCGAGAAGTATGACCAGTGAGCAAAGTTTCATCAAGAGCCTGTTGGGATCCTTGCTAATGCAATGACATAGTATAGGTAAGATGACATTGATCTATCGAGGTCCAGAGCACTCGTACAGGTGTCCACAGATGTTCTTTCCCAGGATAAAGTCATGGATATTGCAGACAATGAGGCGGTTCATAACTTTGCCCACTGATTGGTCAATAGTTTAGTGAATCTAGCTTGTCCCCTTCCTTTAAGACTTGGAGTCACCACAGCATCATTCCAAGATGATGAGAGGAAGCCAGTGTTCAGGGATGCCTAGGGAAGGTCAATTGATCAACAGGATTGCAAGAATCTTATCAGGAGGGAGTCGGAATTCAGACTACTTAAAACTTGGGCAACATCTATATTTGAAAGGAGACATCTTTCAGGATAATCTCTCCAGCATTACAGCTGACGTCAGGAGCACCCAGTTCATCAACTGCATGTTCCATGGTGAAGTCTTTAAGCATCTCTGCTGCAAAGGCCTCCACCTGACAGCTAGGTCAGTTAGCAGTTCTGCTTGGTTTCTGATTGATTGTGAGAATACCTGTTTTAGACTGAGTCAGGTGCTCCATGGATGAGAACAGTTATTTGCCTCCCCGGGTGATGACTTCCTTCTCATAATCCTTTCTCCTTTGCCTCATCTAAGATATCAACGAATTTGATTATTCGATTACTCTATATGCGCTATAGTCACTTGGCTTATTTGTGGTTTTGTATTTTTTTCCAAGCTTTCACCTTCCTTCTAGCAATTTTCTTATTTGGTGGTAAATCCAAGGTTTATTCACATTAACTTTTAGTATGCGGTTCAGAGTGTGAGTTACTAGAAAACACCTTATGGTATGATGCAAAATTTCCATTTCTCTTAGACACCGTAGGTGCGAGGCTGCAACTATTCAAATGATAATTATCATCTATTATTTGGAACACAACCACCACCGAAGAACACTACAGGTCTAGTTTTCTCACTAATTAATAAAAGAGGGACAGTTTCCCTAATGTCGTAAGATTTATTAGTGTATTTAAACCTTCTTATTAGAAGTACTCGCTGTTTAACGTTCTCAATTTGTTTAAAAGCTAATTTTTAAATTTTAAGTAATTGTTTTGACAGATAACTAACCTACTAAATGACAATAATAGTCCTTTGACTGATGGACTGTTTTACGTATTATAAAGTTCTTTTAGTGCACAGAATTAGCAGGTTTTCTATTATAATAATTGTACTTCAAATAGATCAAGTTCTTTTTTATTATTTCTCAAAATCCAGCCATTTTGTGGGACATATGGGATAAACTTGTTTAGAATGTGACAGTTTCCTTGTGTTAAACATAAACATAATTACCGTCTATTGAGCAAACGTACCTTCCGTAAAATCCTTCTGTTATTTTATTCCGTTTTAAAGGTCTTCGCATTTTGCCAATTTCAGCATTTCGTCTCTTCATAATTTACACACAAACAATTTGATAAACAATCTATTTCAGTCACACCGCGTACGCGCTCACAAATAAGCGCGGTTCTCTCATGGATTTTGTTGCACAAACCAGCACAAACCTAGCTTTTTGCGGTAAAACGTCTTTGTTGTCAGTCAGTCTGTCTGTCATTTAATCTATGGTCACTAGTATCTCCATCCGTATAACTGTAGATGGCGCTAGTGGTGAAATGTTACCCGCTTCTTTTAATACGAATTGGTACAGGCTTAAATATTTACCCCCATGGTAATCGTAATAGATAAATTTTTATCCAGTAATAAGTAGTTTAATCGAAACTTTTCATTTATTGAGATTTCATAGTCTTTTAGTACCCTAGTTGAACAATTTTGTGGTTTTACAAGAGCCTTTTTTAAATTTCCTGTTTATTTTGGCAAATCAATATTCTTGATTAAAAAGGACCTATTATTAAATTTTTCTGTATTTTACTGCTTTACCATTATTTATAATCATNGGAGAAAGTCTTCTATGTAAAAGATAAAGAATTGTTGAATTTCCTAATTTAGAAAAATGCTTGTTTACATGGTTTAGACAGTGTAGAAAATATGTAAAAACATTAGTGTTAGTGGACCTACACTAAAGGAGAAAGTTGAAGAGTTTGATAAGTCACTGGAAATCCATAATTTTAAAGCTTAAACTTAAACCCTTAGTAAGTAAAAGCCTTAATAACTCAAATTATTTTACGTTTCCCTTGGTTTTTATCTTATCGAGGTTCTACTGCATTGATTTTTTCGAAAATGGTAGGCATTTGAAGTGAAAAATTTAGTACAAATCTGCTCATAAAATGTAAGGTTTTTAATTGATCGAAATTTAACTAGAAAGATCGCATCATAATTGGGAGTCAATTGGATAAAAGTTGTTTTGAGAAAGACATTTTTGAGCAGCTATATATACTGGCAATGGTCGATAAATCATTGTTTAAGCCAATGAGATCGGTTTTAAAATTTATAATATTAAGGTTGCAATTTTGAAAAAGAAAAGTAAAATGACACTTTTGATTTCCATCTTTTCTTTTTATTTATTTTATTATTACACAGTTGAGTACAATGTATAAATGTTTAATTGCATATCGTTTTGTAGGTAGGTATAGAAAAGCTTTACAAAAGATGTATTTGTTACATTTACATTATTTATATGTAGGTATTGTATGATGCACTGCCGTCAAAAATTCGAAAATTTCATAAAATTTATTGTGTGCAGTTACGTACGTCATTGAGAATATCGTCATTGGATACGACATACTGACATATATGCATGTGTTGCAGTTCAAGCTTCTTATCAATAATAACAATAACGTTCTTCCTTTTTTATCGTCATTTCGAACAAAGCGTTACAATTCCATATCATAATAAATAGTATTAATTATGTAACTGTAATTTACAATTTTTCAAAAAAATTCAGGCACATGGATAAATAGTGTTTTTGTTTTAATTACTCTTATATTAATTCTTATGTCAATAGCAAAATGCGTTCATTTAATTAGTTAATAAAAATTTGTAATTGTTAAAAATGAGACCAGAGCGACTAGCGTAAGCCATTTTAGGGGTAAATTAGTCGGGGCTAAATTACAGTCGTCTGTATTACATGTAGAACAGTGTGTTATCGTTTTACCCCCTACCGTTTCGATTTTGTTACAAAATTTCGGATTTTCGGTGATGGAAACTTGGCATCCCCTTAGAACGACTTCTTCACCGTTCTCGATTTCTGTGGGAAGAGAAACAAAACACATAATAAAATAATCCGAAGTGGTCTGTATTCTGTCGAAACTGCCAGACGCGGATCGCGATTTCGATCTTTTTGGATCTCATCAGCGCGTCGCAGGCAGCTCCGACAGAACACAGACCAACTTTTACCTGCTGTCTTAACAGT